TATTTAATAATAATCTTAACTTGGACTGATATTTGAGTGTCAGAGTAGATTTCATAACAGAACTTAATTTGATAAAATTTTCTCACTTAATCTTATACATCGTAAATTTAATAACCTTATATTCAAAGAACAGCATCATTTTAACAAGCTCATATTTTAAGCTATAAATAAAACACCTCACTGGTAGCTGGTCCTCAGTCTGAGGGACTCTGAATTTTCCTTCAAAGCTGCAGATAATACTTAAGATGCCATGACATTACCCCAAGGCATGTAGAGGCAGAAACTAAGGTATAGTGAAGGATAGAGAGGGTCAGTTCTTTCTTACCAGGGAGAAACAGATCTTTTCCAGAAACTCACAGAACATAAAGACTATGTTTCATTAACTATAACTGCCCACCCTGAAGTCCTAGATACAAGTCCAGAGCTACCTTCCTTTACAAGTCCCAAATTTCTCCAAATACTTTAACAAAATTCTGTGACTATTATGTTAGTGTATCAATGTGTATGTATGGATGAGAGGGCAGGGGAGGTCAGGGGGAGAGCAGTGTGAGCTAAGAATGACTTTTGTTAATTTAGTGAAGATCATCTACCACTGGTTAGTTCCCATAAGTGTCGCAGTTCTGAAGAATTGGAGCATCCTCTACCAGCACTCTAATAAACAGCAGCAAAGCAGCTCTTGTCCATGCCATTTGAAAGTGGGATGTGGGACAAAGAATAGGGAGGAGGGAGAAGAGTGATGCCTTTTATTTGCCAATGAACACTTCAAGAAAGCTAGTAAAATAGTTTCCCTGGAGTAAGTGCACAATGGGAACAAATGATTACTGTAAAACATCTGGAATCTTCTAACACCAGAAAACACAATCCTTAGAGGCACTTAGAGGCATATTGAGACTTGATCACAATTTTTTCTTCTACTCCTTTCAAGGACATACAAATGTATCTTCCAGGATAATACTAGGTTTCTTGCTAATATCTAATAAAAAATAATTATGTTTTTAAGTGAGAAATTAACATGTAGCTCTCTTTATTGTAACACCAATCTCAGAATTCTTGCTGGAGGAATGCCAGAGAAAGTGAGAGACATCTGATGATTTGTTGTCTTTTTTAATTTATAAATTCCCTTTTTTTAATTGAGCTTTTAAAATTTCATAAAGTATTTCCCACTGACATCCAGATCCCCTCCCCTATCCGTGCCTCTGTGGGACCCATGTCAACTCAATTAAACAAGGTCCCAAAGGGAAGGTGAGAAATGGGTGGCAGGTCAGCACTAGATTGAAAATTATTTGAGACTTATTGCTCCCAGGCGAGGGAGAGTTTGACTTACATACAATCACTGGGTGGGCTGACTAGACTCCAGTGAACGCACTTACACCGTAGGACAGTTGGCTGCACACACCTGAGGGATTTGTTGTCTTTTGAGGGGAATAGAAGTCATAAAAGAGCCCAAAGCTACCAGCCAATCAGTGATCTCAGTCTAGCAGATCTGCTGCTATTGCTCATCTACTCTTTTGCATTTTCTTAGCCAAATTATCTCTTTCATGTAGAAAATACCAATGTTTGCATTCATCTTTTTGAAATAATATTTTATTCAGTCTTTGAAAAACTCATAACATTTATACAAAGTGTTTTGGTCATATCCACTCACCACTATTTCCTTTCAGCTCCAATGCCACCACTTTGTCTCCCCCCCAACTTCAACTCCTCCATTTCTGATTCTTAATACCCGCCCCCCCGAGTCCAACTAGTGCTTCCCATATGTGCATGAGTGTCAGGTCATCTACTAGGCATGGGCAACCTACCAGGGACTACATCCTCAGGGGAGAGTGACTCTTCTTCCCTCAGCAGCCATTGACTGCCAGCAGTTCCTCTGCTAGGGGGTCTGACCACGCGCCATCCATGCTGGAGTTTTGGCTAATTGATCCTGGGCAGGTCTTTTGGAGGTAATCACAGGCATGTCGTTTCCGTTGTAGTGCCATAATTATCTGCTAAAGCAAAAAGTCATGTGAATCTCCTTTCTTATAAAATGCAGTTAATGACTGTTTCTGCCTTTACAATAATTGAGATTTCTTCTAATAGTAAATCAATCTTTGCTCTTTTTGGGAACCTTCTGTAGCACAAAGCTGGAATCTAATATTTAAATGCTCCTGTTAGATCATTGAGTTTATTTTCACGTTATAAATTTTGAAAACAAATTCCTTTATACTGACAGAATGTTGTACATTTTGGAAAACTGGCATTTTAACTGAGATCTTCCTTTTAGGGAAATTCTAAAAATTAAAGCGTCACCCAAAGCTAACAGGCCACAGATCCATACAAACCATCATCGCACATTCAAATGTGAAATATTCACTATTATTTCATTTAATTTGAAACTTTGCTAGAACACCTCTGTTTGCAAGACCCAATGAGATACTCTATGTATGGCATCACGATTCCTTCCAAAAGTGTCTTTAAAATTCAGCCAAGTTTCTCTGAAAACTACATATTGCTCTATTTTGTCTGACTTTTGTGTAGGCAGGCATAGATGGGTGTACTATTGCCCATCTCAATCCTAACCAAACTGAACACAACCTGCCCTCAAACCTGAATTCTGGCTTCCCTGTCTTTTGTTGTTGTTGTTGGTGGTGGTGGTGGTGGTGGTGGTGGTGGTGGTTAGTTATCCAGACTTAGAATTTTTCAGTCTGTAAATTACTCATAGCAGTTTTTAAACCATCATCCTTTGAAAAGGAAGATCCAGTTCCAGGTGTTGATAGACCTATGGAAACTGATCATCAGAACATAGCATGAACCAGGCCTAGTGTTCAGGCCTGAAATGCCATCTACTTAAGAAGCTAAAACAGGCAGATTACAAGGTAAAGACCAGCCTAGGCTAAAGAGTGAATTCAAGGTCATTCTGAGTAACTTAGTGAGACCTTGTCTCAGAATAATAAAAATAAAACAGGCTGGGGCTGTAGTTCATTGACTGAGTGCTTGTTGAGGAAGCAAAAACCCTAGATATGATTTCCAGGAACTAACTATCTCTCTGTCTCTGCCCCCCCCCACACACACAAAGAAATGTGATGAACACAAACATGCATGTGTGTCTGAGATATATCAGAACAGTGTTCCCTATTTATTCAGGAAAATCTTGCCACTGACTTAGGGCTGTGGGACAAATAGGGTCCTCTCCCTCCTCACAGAGCTCTGTGATAGGACCATGATGGATCGTTTTATTCAACAGAGATTATTCAAGTGATATTGTTTTTAACTTTATTTCTGAGAATTTCTGAAAATGAATATTGTCTTTGCATTATTGCCACAGCTCCCATTCCCCAACCCCTCCCATCTCCTCCCACTCCCTCCCATTCCCCACCAACCCCTCCCACTCCGTCCCATTTCCTCCCACTCCCTCTCTTGTCTTCATTATTGTTTCATATACATCCATACATTTATAAATATAAATGCAGTTCATTGGCTGAGTGCTTGTCTAGGAAGCAAGATAAAATACAACGAGTCCATTTAGTGGTGCTCATGTTAATGACCAGTTTCCATAGTGGTACTTGTGCTTTGGGATGTCCATGTGGGATTAGATAACCCATCAGAGAGCTAGTTCCTCAAGAAATCTGATTCTCCATCCCTCAGCATCCATTGATTACCTGTAGCTCTTCATCCTAAGGTGGAACCCCATGTCATTCCCCCCATTCACCTTGGCATGTGAGCTGGTTTTGTCATTATGCAGATCTTACAGACCACCATACTGTGGAGAGGTCATTGGTGCAGCTTCCCTGTCATGCCTAGGATGCATTAACTAGCAGCAGGTGTCTTACATTCTCTCTGCCCAATATTCCTTGATGTTACCTGAACCTTAGTTGTAGACATTGCATTGTAGATGTGTCACTTAGGGATGGTCACCTCACAGTCATTTATTATCTGTCAAGTGATATGTTTTAAAAACTTACTCAGTGCATTGGAGTTTTACCTTCAACTACCCAGCTACCTTTGGTGAGCAATGTCCAAGCTCTTTCTATGTATAAAGCTAGCAAGATTTCACAATCACTTTAAGAAGCATTTTATAATTTAATTAAATTTTATTTTATCTCTTTTCTTAAGTACTACTATCTTACAAACAAATCTTTGTTAAATATTTAACTCATAAAATTACAAAATGAAGTTTATAAATCCAATGACTCAAATGCTTCTCAATACTTACTGTTTACATCCCTGGTAAAATTTCACCCTTTGCAACATGCAATTACACATTAAATAACTCAATTGCTATTTTGAAGTGGCAAAATGAAGGTATTTCAAAAACTTAAGTTTTTGAAAATACTAAATACATACTTGTCCTTTATCCTAACCCAGAAATTGACATTAGTATTTGATATTTTTAATTTTAATTCCAGATAATAATGGAGATAAGCACGTAACTTCCCACTAAATATAATTTTGTCATTGCAAGAAAATTGTATTATCTCCCCGTGAAAACGCAGGCTTATTTTCTTTACTGGCCCAGGTTACATTTCAGTCACAGAGCTTGGTGAGGACATGTGACCTGGGCTTGATGTTTCTCAATGAAGGAGGAATCAGGAGTCCCCCCCAATGGTCATTGTGCATAGACTGTCAAAAACCATGCCTGTAAAGTGAGATTGCCTAATTCTCACATTGGATTTGGGTATATAACCCCCATGCTGGATACTTTATCCTGGACTAGAGCCAATTAAGATTTGACCCTTCCTGAGAGGCAGGGTTAGGAATCTGATAAATGGCACCAGATTAGACTCTGTTCTCTGTTCTGTATCTCATGACTTATGAGCATCATTATCATCATGCTAGTTACACTGAACGGGTGATTAAGATTTTTTGTGGAAACAAAGGAGTTCTAGCCTAGAAAGCGGGCAGGGGAAGGAATAGTACTTATTTTAGGACTGGTTGGCAGGAAGGCCACTCTTTGGTCACAGGTAAGGATTTTTGGGTTATACTGCCCTGAACTCTAACCAGGGAAGATTTAGCTGAGAATAGGAAGTCAGGGGTGCAGACAGAAAGAACAGCAATTATAACAAATCTTGAACATAGAGAAGAGTTGATATGTGGGGATTTAAAGGACAGTCTAATAGTACAGTCAGTCATTCCTTTGGGGACATGCCAATCAAATCCTACACCTTGAATTAAGATCATTCCAGTCAATTGTTCATTTGCATAAGGTTATCACTTTTTCACCTCTGTGTGTGTGTGTGTGTGTGTGTGTGTGTATGGTAGCTTGCGTGCACATGCATGTAGGTGTGTGTTGTGGCCAGAGGTCAGCCTCAGGAGCCATTCCTCAAGTGTTGTCCACGTTGCTTTTTTGAGACAGCATCTCACTGGCCTGGAGCTCACCTAGTAGGCCAAGCTGGCTTATCAGCAAGCCCTGGGGACCACTTGTCTGTACCTCCCTGGGATTACAAACACACACCATCACACCCAACATTTTTTTTTTTTTAGGGTTGTTTCCGTTCCTTTCTGCTCCCCTCGTTGGTTGCTAGACAGAGCCTTTTAGAAGTCCATTCTTATAAAATGCCTAGGCATATACATATATTCTTTCTTGAAATTATCTCCCTTTATTTTTCCTTTCTTAGTAGATTTGAACTATTTTTAAGACAAAATAGCTTGTTTTTGCTGGATAATTGTTTTAAGCAAATTTTTATTAAGGTGGACCTTCTAGAT